CTGGCCCGCGGTGCGCGCAGGCGGCCTTCGCGGGCAGGTGGGGCCCGGCCTCGGGCGCCGTCCCGCGCGGGTGCGGTTCCCTGACTACCCCGAGAGGAGCCTTCCCGCTGGCCGCCTTGCGGGAGACAGCGCCTGGCGGGAAAGAAAGGGCCCAACCCTTCGGTTATCCTGGAGGGGAGGACGGAGCCCAGGCCCAGGCCCAGCCCAGGCCCAGGCCCAGCCCCGGCCCAGGCCCAGCCCAGGCCCAGGCCCAGCCCCGGCCCAGGCCCAGCCCAGGCCCAGGCCCAGGCCCAGCCCCGGCCTCTGGCACCTTTCTGACAGGCCAGAAGAATGTTTGAAGGGGAGATGGCAAGCTTGACCGCCATTCTGAAGACAGGCACCGTGAAGGTGCCCAGGCCCATCAGAGTTCTGGATGCCCCGGGAGGAGGGAGTGTGCTGGTGATGGAGCATTTGGACATGCGGTCTCTGAGCAGGTGTGTTTTGACGAATCCCCTCTGGTTAAGGGCAAAGACTTTTTCCTCTGTGTGGTTCCTGTGGCTCCTTTGTTCCTGAAGCTTGTACTTGGGAGCGCAATTATTATTATTTTTGTGTGTGTACTGGTCCTGGGGCTTGAACTCAGGGCCTGGGCACTGTCCCTGAATTTTTTTTGCTCAAGGCTAGTGCTGTACTACTTGAGCCACAGCTCCACTTCTGCTTTCTGGTGGTTAATTAGGGATGAGTCTCAAAGACTTTCCTGCCTGGGCTGGGTTTGAACCGTGATCCTCAGCTCTTGGGACACTGAGATTGTAGGTATGAGCCATCAACACTCAGTTGGGCTTTTGAAGAATGTCACTGAGAGCCTTGACTCCATATGTAATGGTTCTGCAGAACGGGCAGTGTGATTCACTGGTAGCCAAAGGCAGAAGAGGGATCTCCGAACACGGTGGTGGAGGGTGGGGTGCAAATCCAGGTAAGGTGTGTCAGATAACCTGCGCCCTTCATCCCCTTTTGATTAAAAACGGACTGTCACTGGGCGCTGGTGGCTCACGCCTGTAAGCCTAGCTACTCAGGAGGCTGAGATCTGAGGATCACGGTTCGAAGCCAGCCCGGGCAGGAGAGACGGTGAGACTCCTATCTCCAGTAAACCACCAGAAAACCGGAAGTGGCGCTGTAGTTCAAGTGGTAGAGCTCTTGCCTTGAGCTGAAGAGCTGAGGGACAGCGCCCAGGCCCAGAGTTCAAGCCTTACGACCGACAAAAAAAAAAACCAAAAAAAAACCGGACTGTCCTTAAAATGTTCACAAGCTTTGTGTCCTTGAATCCTTTTGTATAGATGTGGCTCTGCCTTTTGGGTGTCATCTGTTGTGTTTTGGTTTTATAGTCATGCTGCTAAACTTGGAACCCAGCTTGCAGATCTACACCTCGAGAACAAGAAGCGTGGAGAGAGACTCCTGAAGGAGGCTAGCACTGTGGGTAAGGGCTGGATGGATTGTAGGAGACCCCCCTGGAGGAGGACACACAGCCGAGTGTTTGGTGATCTGATAGTCAGATCTGTAATGATGCCAGAATGTCCTAGAGCAGTTCAGTGAGCACCATGGATGTGGCTGATGTGTTAAACATACTTGGAAGACAGGAAGTCACTGTTGGACTTGGAACTTCATAGCATTACCCTTGCTTTTCCCTCTCACTCTGCAGAGAGGCTGGAGGTTTTCTGGCTTTCTGTACAAAGTGCGTCCTTTTAAGCACTGTGTATTCTAAGTACGTGTCATTCTTGAGACTGGGTTTGCTCACAGCTGGCGTTCTACCACTTGAGCCACACCTCCAGTTCCGTTCCTGAGACTTGCAAAGTCAGCCCTCAAGTCTGACCTAGCTAGAGTTTAGTGTGTTGTTATACTGTGGGAATTTTCCACTGTTTTCATCTCTGACAGTTGGTAATCCACAGGTCTCCCTGTGCTGAGTCTGCTGGACTGAGCTGCTGATGCTGGCCCGGGAGGCTGTGGGCCCTGCCCCTGTGAGGCCCCAGCACACTTCCAGACTGCATGGAGTCTAGCGCTGGGATTGTTGTTTGAGCAACTACATAGGATTGAAACTATTTCAAAGCTAATCTCCACTTTGTAGGCCATGTCACTACAGAGAACTGTTCTTTCTTGATGGATTAAGAGGTCGATTTTTTTTTTCTTCTCTAAAGAAAAGTCATCTTTTTTTTTTTTTTTTCTCCTCAGTATACTGGTGTCTGCTCTGAGAGCTGGCGTCTTTGGTTGTTAAGTCTGCCCAAGGAGTTTCTGTTCTGAGTAACCAGAGAGTTAGTGGAGACCAAGGCCCTTTTTTGTCTCTGGGTAGGACATGAGGTGTCCCCTCCACCTCTCAGCTGAGGTCAGGCTTCGGTGCATCTCTGAGCTCCACGAATGGCAGCCCAGGGTCTCCTGGCACAAGGAAACTAACTGTGATCTTTCCCTTTTCCTTTTGGTGTGCCAGGGAAAGGAGGAGAGCAGGTGGACCAGATCTTTGTGGACCAGTTTGGGTTTGATGTGGTGACATGCTGTGGCTATCTTCCCCAGGTGAGAGAAAGTACCCTTTCCTTTTCCTGTGCAATACTGTATGTTGTGGCTTTTTTTTTTTGGTTGTGGGTCTTGAACTCTGGGCCTGGGTGCTGTCCCTCAGCTCTTCAGCTCTACCACTTGAGCCACTGGCCTTTTCTGCTTATGTGGTGCTGAGGAATCAAACCCAGGGCCTCATGCATGCAAAGCAAGCGCTCTACCACTGAGCCACCTTCCCAGCCCTTGTCATTATTCTTAAACAATGCAGTATAGCAGATGCTTAATACGTTATATTATTAAGTATCATAACTAGAGATGATTAATGAGTTCTATGCAAATTCTAGATACCACTTTATATAAGAACTTGAACACCCGAGTGTTTTAGTATGGAGTCCTGGCCTAGTCCCTCTGCCAGACCAGTTCAGCAGTGATGCAAGATTGTTTCTGGGATGGTTTGGGGTTTTTTCATGCCAGGGCCTGGGCGCTGTCCCTGAGCTTTTTTGCTCAAGGCTAGAGCTCTATCACTTGAACCACAGTGCCACTTACAGCTTTTTTGTTGGTTAATTGGCAGTAAGAAGAATCTCACAGACTTCCCTGCCTGGGCTAGTTTTTAACTGTGATCCTCAGATCTCAGCCTCCTAGGTAGCTAGGATGACAGGTGTGAGCCACCGACACCAAGCAGGCTTATGGTTTTAAGGTTGGCTTTGATGGGAGTTCTGCTTGCTGTGGGCTGGGGGGACAGTGCTTTCAGAGGGTAGGCAGAGGTGGCTCCTTGGGCGGGGTTGCTGAGGAATTGAGGAAAGTTCTAGGGGTTCCTGGCAGGCACATGTCATAGGAGGTTATCTGTAAACCTGCCTTGGGGTCCTCAGTGGTGCCTTGTGGTCCTGTCCGCTTCCGGGCACATCAGCAGCACTGCCCATGTGCATACACACGCGCATGCACACGCTTGTGTGTGGGGTCGTGCGTCCTCCGGGGTCACGTCCTGTTCTGTGGGCCGCTCTGCTCATGGCTTCCCTGTGCACGGTCAGTGCTCATGCTCTAGGCAGCCTTTCTGGGGATCTTCTGGAACAAGGTTCTGTATGGCTTTTCTCAAGATTCTTCTCTGGACAGGGCCATGAGGTAGACCTGAGCCGCGGGTAGGGCAGTCTGTCAGCTCTGTTTCTGTGTCCCAGAAGGAGAATAATTGAGAGGAAGTGTGCCGGTGCTCTCAGTCTTGGCCCCAGAGCAGACCCTGCCTGGGCTCTGCCTCCCACTGCTCCTGGGCGGGGTCCTGACCTCAGCCAGCCCGAAGCCCGGGTGCCTGGCCCTCCTCACCTCTCTGCTCCGGGCATCTTTCCACTGTGGGAGGCTTGCAGGGATTCGAGCTTCCTTGGAGCTAGCTTTTCCTGATGAACTCTGTCCTTTGTTGTCACTTGTGCAGGTGAATGACTGGCAGAAGGACTGGGTTGTGTTCTATGCTCGGCAGCGCATTCAGCCCCAGCTGGATATGGTGGAGAAGGAGTCTGGGGACCGGGAGGCCCTGGAGCTCTGGTCTGCTCTGCAGGTGAGGTGGGCTCCTGCTGGGGCCCGGTCCAGTATACGCCTCACGTGGCTCAGTGTAAAGAGGCACCAAGGCTGACCGCTCCTCTGAGCCTGGCTCTGAGCAGGAAGCGGGGTGCTGTCAGTGTCCCCTAACCCCTCCTAAGCTAGGTGTGTCTGAGCCGTGCTTAGAACATCTCCATCTCTGCGTGCATCTGTGGCTTTGCTAAGTCTCTGCTTTCGCCCTGCAGCTGAAGATCCCTGACCTGTTCCGTGATCTGGAGATCACGCCGGCCTTGCTTCACGGAGACCTCTGGGGAGGGAATGTAGCAGAAGATTCTTCTGGGCCCATCATTTTTGACCCAGCTTCTTTCTACGGCCACTCAGAATATGAGCTGGCTATAGCTGGCATGTTCGGTGGCTTCAGCGGCTCCTTCTACTCTGCCTATCACAGCAAAATTCCCAAGGCCCCTGGATTCGAGAAGCGCCTGAAGTTGTATCAGCTCTTTCACTACCTGAACCACTGGAACCATTTTGGATCGGGGTATAGAGGGTCCTCCCTAAACATCATGCGGAATCTCATCAAATGAGCTGTCTTTCCTCTGGACGAGGGGTCTCGAGTGTGCCTGCCTCAGAGCCAGGTCCACCACACTGGGACCAGTCTGGTCAGGACCGGTCTCCTGCCTGTTTGCCACATGGCTGGATTTGTGGAAGATCAGGCAGTGGCTTTGCTTTGAGCCTCGTAAAGCGTGTGAATCTGAGGAAAGGCCACAAGGCTCTGATGTGGTTCACCTTGTTAGGTTCTTGGCTGCTTAAGGCCACAGTGTCCATGCTCTGCTTCAAAGGTAGAGAACCGAGTGATGGTGTGGGCGTCCAGTGTACAGGAAAGTAGCCAGGGCCCACCCACTTCCTGCCCCTCAGTCCAGCGTCATCTCGGGGTGGCTCTGGAGCTTCATAAAGCATGAAGACAAGTCCATATGGAACTGTCTTACTAGAGGTTGTCGGTAATGGTCAGCTCCACAGTCAAGCACATTCCTTGTCTGTCCATCACTTCCCCAGGCTTCTGCAGGCAGGGTGGGGAACTGACCGCGCCGCAAGCCTTTGGGTAAATTGGATGAATAAGAGCCTCGGGTTATTTCTGTATTGCCCCAACTTTGCATGCTCACTAGAGCTTAATAAATTGTCAGGCATTCCTTTAAAAGTACAAAATGAGCATTGAAATAGTTTTGTTTTCTATCCTTTAGTATTAAAAGAATAGGAAATTTCATGAGTGACCTTGCTGCTACTAAATCACTTTGTCCAAAAACTTTATTAAACTCTCAGTGATTTCATTGATATGCTTCCCATTTAGCAATTCAACATTTTATTATTTATATTTATTTTTTGTTTGGTCGTGGGGCCTGAACTCTGGGCCTGGGCGCTGTCCCTCAGCTCTTCAGCTCAAGGTCAGCGCTCTACCACTTGAGCCACAACACTACTTCCAGCTTTTTCTGCTTTGTGGTGCTGAGGAATCAAACCCAGGGCCTTATGCATGCAAGGCAAGCGCTCTACCACTGAGCCACCTTCCTAGTCCCTCACTAAACATTTTAGCTGTTTACTCAGAAATTCTGTAGTACATAGATACATAATACATAGATACAACTTGGTTTTTGTTTTTTGTCAGTTGTGGGGGCCTGAACTTAGCTTGGGGGCTGTTTTCTGGTGGCTCATTGGAGATAAGAGTCTCACGGACTTTCCTGCCTTGGCTGGCTTTGAACCGTGATTCTCAGATCTCAGCCTCCTGAGTAACTAGGATGACAGGCATGAGCCACCGGTGCCTGGACTTTTTTCTTGTTTATGTATGACAGATCAGGCTCCTCAGCAGAAGTCGGACTGATGCTACTGAGCAGCTTTAGTCGGAGGAGAGAGAAGACTTGGAAGAAGTTAGGATTCGAGTTCAGACCTAGTCATGCCTGGACCATGTAACCAAGGTTTTAGCTTTAGTGCTCTGACCCTGGGGAAATGGATAACCATGTATCTGTCAGCACAGCAGTATGTGGATCAGAGTGGAGGCCAAAGTGGTTCTCATTGATAACGAGGGAAAACTCACCCCAACAGGGTGGCCGAACTGAGGCTCAGGAGATGACCTCAGTGAGTGTAAGGAGAGCATAGTCAACACTGACACAGCCCTCAGCTGATGAACAGAGCACCATCAACACTGACACAGCCCTCAGCTGATGAACAGCCCTGTCAACACTGACACAGC